AAAAAGTTTATATATTAAATAATTATTAATAATTTTATTAGTTTTTACTAACTTGATTTGTCAAAATTTCCGGCACTTTTGACTCTCACCTGTTCCCGCTACGCGTGTGGGTTGTGGGCTTATGCCGTCCTTGTCTCTTCCTTATTAAAATATTTTCAGTTTTGAGGTATGCTCGATCAAAACATTGCAATTAGCGCATCAGTTGAACTTAGCACATCACTAAATAGCGCTTTAGGATGGAAGCAAGGTGATGAAGATTCCAAATGGGCTCAAAAGGCAATAGAAACCCTCGTTAAAAAGCTCAAAAAACGAAAAGGACTTTTAGAAAGGCTGCAATATGCACTTTCTCATCCTAGTGAAATAACTGAATGCGTGACTATTCCTCGGTCACTTGATGGAAGGATTCAAGTAAATACAATTTTAACTTTAATGTTATAAGGTCTCGCATCGCAAGGGATTCCCCCATGTTATTTACTGTCGAGTTTGGCGTTGGCCGGACTTGCAAAGCCACCATGAACTCAAGCCTTTAGAATGCTGCAAACTTCCCTTTACATCTAAAGAAAAAGAAGTTTGTATCAACCCCTACCATTACCGGAGAGTAGAATATCCTGTTTTGCCCCCTGTACTCGTTCCAAGACATAATGAGTATCCAAAAGCCGAAGACCGTCAGCGTAGTCAAGATTTTTCGGATTGTCCCGGTTACAATGATTGCAGGAATTTTGGAGGTCAGTTAACCTAACTACGTTTTCCAATTGCGGTGTATTTTTTAGACATTACATTTAATCTTGTCTATCGTGACACTATATATGTGAATAATCTTATTTTTAACACGTTTGCATTAGCTATATTTGTATCCATTTCTTCGTTCACTAGAATTTCAATCAATTAGTTATCAAGAACCACGCTTTTGGTGTTCGGTTGTCTACTACGAATTGAATACCCGAGTTGGCGAGGCTTTTTTTGCTTCCGTTCCCAGTGTAATCATTGATGGATTTACGAACCCTTCCAAAGTTTCAGGGCGCTTTTGTCTTGGGCTATTATCCAATATCAATCGTACCCCTACTACAGAAAATGCCAGAAAGCAGATAGGCAAAGGTAATAACTTCTATCTTTACACTTTATAGTTTATGGCCAAGCTTGTTAATTTTTTAATATTATGGCTATACTCTATTGTAAAAATATGTTTATTTGTGATTTTTTTTTCTGATCATTCCTAACATAAAATTAATCTTTCGATAGCATTTTTTTCACTATCTTCCATATACTTTTTATACTGAAGCCATCAGCCAGGCTCTTGCTTCCAATTAATTTGTTTCGTATGGTTAAATTTGGCTAACATATCGGCTTAACATTATAATTTTATGTAAGTTCCCTGTATAGCTCGATGCTAATATCATTGTATTTATCCTTTTATTTTTATCATTTAAATATTTCATCCATTTATTTTTCTAAACTTAATGTTATATTATGCCACACTATATATCCATTCCTATTGTTAGAACTTCATTTTTCCCTCTATTTCTAGATCCTAAATGTATAATATATCCATAAGCTTGTGATGTCACCCCACCGGCTGATCTGTCTGCTCTATATAGAAAAATTAACTCTTGTATAATTACTAGCATATTTCCTTAATCCTTACATAGTATAATAATTTGACAGTATATATTACTTAAATCTCTTGATAGTCGTTCTGCAATATAATATTAAAGTATCAGATTTTAATAAGAACTACACTTTTTGGGAAAGCACAGACCCCGGATTTGCAACGGCTCTATTCTTAATTGCTTCTAGTCACTTATTGACCTTTCTTCACTCAGGACTTCGTATGAAAGTCCCTCTAACAATATTATCTCAAGAGATTCATCGAAACCCAATTTCTCTTCGTATTTACAATGTACGTACGGTTCGACTTCTTGTCATTTGTCTTATCGCTACACTACAACCAAGAAAACTATATAACGGCAAGTTAATAGAATTAGATTTTTTAAAATTTGTATTTATCATAATGTTGCTCCTATGTGCTGTTTACTTAGTAAACGTTTTAATCTACCGACATCCACAAATAGGGAACCTGATCAAGAATCATATGGTTTAGTTAAAACTAGGCTCAAGGAAAGCATTAAAAACTCCACGATCTAATTAGAACCAAATTAAGCTTAGGCAATTCCTCACTCAAGTATTGAATGATATGGATTTCATTAAGTTACAAGACACGGCTGACGGGTTTGGAGAGGCGGCTGGCAGAACTGCTCGTCGGATACATGATAAGAAGCTCCGGAATTTAGGAATTAGAATAGGATCGAACATGATAAGTATTACTAACCATGGTTGTAACAGTGGGGAAGATAAGGTAATCAATTTATCTAGTACAACACTGGAGGATAATTTAGTACTTTTATTA